GTCTCCCAGCTTGACCTAACGGTGAGTGGTTGTCTCCCAGCTTGACCTAACAGAGAATGGTTATCTCCCAGCTTGACCTAACAGTGAGTGGTTGTCTCCCAGCTTGACATTACAGTGAGTGGTTGCCTCCCAGCTTAATCTAACAGTGAGTGGTTATCTCCCAGCTTGACCTTACAGTGAGTGGTTGTCTCCCAGCTTGACCTTACAGTGAGTGGTTATCTCCCAGCTGGACCTAACAGTGAGTGGTTGTCTCCCAGCTTGACCTTACAGTGAGTGGTTGTCTCCCAGCTTGACCTTACAGTGAGTGGTTATCTCCCAGCTTGACCTTACAGTGAGTGGTTATCTCCCAGCTTGACCTTACAGTGAGTGGTTGTCTCCCAGCTTGACCTTACAGTGAGCGGTTGTCTCCCAGCTTGACCCTACAGTGAGCGGTTGTCTCCCAGCTTGACCTTACAGTGAGTGGTTATCGGGTAAAACCCCGTGAAGTAAAGTCGACCGACGTGATGCTGATCATATCACCCACCAAGTGCCGATCGATTTACAAAATACAGGTCTATTCATACATGCCCAATACGCCTGAAAACTTAGAAAAGGGTCCTTTACTGTTTAATAATAATAAAACTAATAATAATAATGTATTGGCAAAACAGTGGGACTCACCCGGGACCCCACAGCCATGCTGGTTGAGAGTTCTACACATGACGTAGTCACTGGACGGACTCCGCCCAGTTCTGTTTACTGCACAGGCGCTGAAATAGTAGTTTGTACTGTGCGAAAGTCCTTCGATAAGCACATAAATCCTCATTGTCGATAAAGTTGTTGTGTTGATAGGCCACTTGGCTTCTAGAAATGTCTGTAACAAGGATATTGCAGTGGATTTGGTGGATTACTCTTTGTCCCTGGTAGACATTTAATCAAACAGCTACTGGCACCCTCGGAGTTTTCGCTGGCTGTTGGATGAGGACGGAGCTCCCCGTGTGCGTTCAAGGGCCCCTATTGAGGGGGAAAAAAAACAGGAGTATACTCCCCCCCCCCCCTCCCCCCCCCCCCCCCCCCCGCCTGCTCAGCAAGCATGCAGAAGGAGTCGACTAATTGGGAGCATCCTTTGAAGTCAGACTGCATCCGCCTGAGAACCAAGAAACCAGAAGGCTGCATACAAGCAAACCAGGTCTGAAAAACAGATATGCATTCAACACTCAGGTTCTGGGACAAGACTTAAGTCCGAGGATGGACGAAGAACCAAAACTTTCCGCCGGAGTTTTCATCGTGTTAAGGCGAAAAAAGAAGAAGGAGGAGACAATGGAGAGCAGATGGGAACATCTCGAGTGCTGTGATGCCAGTCCCCAGCTGAACATACTCAACACTTCATGGTTGCAAACTCAGTTTTATTGTTCCCACCACTCTTATAGAACGTAGGGGTACTTATCATCTTCATGTGCCCTGCCAACTGGCGTAGGCGCTCATACATCTCCACAGATCACGATCCCTGGTTGCCTGGAACAGCTCTTGATGATATCCCTCCATGCTATCGTTGCAGCCCAACCAGTATAATCTCTCTTTGTCTGCCTCTACACCTCTTTCCAGTTGTCCTGATGTTTTCAAATGCCTCTCTTCTCATTAGGTGGCCAAAGAACAGTGTATGTCTCCTTCTTATTGTTGTATATAAAAGATCTACTTTCATTATTTAATGAGACTACTACGCCCGAGGAGTTAGTTAGGTTGTTGTGGTTAGAGTCGTCTCGTCCCCACCCACAGCAACAAAACTGCCGCTTACCAAGCAATGGAACCCATGGTCTGCCACATGAGAGACCAGCGTTCAATCCATCTTCCAGCTGCTAACCTTCTCGCCACACTTATCCGACCATCTTCATCATCGCGTAGCAGGTTCTTTGCAGAACATCACTCTCATCACTGTCTGCCTGAGAGAATCGCTCGCCAACTCTTCCCCCGTCATGCACTTTCGTATCCATGGAATCACTTATATCCGGTACCCATCTTCGCCTTGGTCGGCCTCTACGCCTCCTTTCTGCTATTATTATTTTTTTTTTTTCAAATCCGCCATGGGGCTTGGTATGGGAACAATATTTCAGCTTCCGAGACAAGACGCTGTTTATCAGCCAATATTCCCCGATGTTTAGATCTCTTAGAATGTCAGTATTTCTTTGTCCATGGGATTCTGAGAGTCTAAAGCATTTGAACTGAAAAGCCCCATTTTCTTCATTAGAGACTGGAAGATAGTCCACTACTTGCATACGAAAATCGGTACAAAAATGATGCATGCTCTAAACATTTTAACTTTTATGTTTGATAACAATTTTGAACATAAAGAGCCTTGCTATTTCATTAAGTTTTAATGTTAGGTTAGTTGCGTATCCTTTACAGGACGTTGCAGAACCAACTCTAAGAGCCACTGGCTGGTGTGGTTTTTCTAGGCAAATTTACGTCCAGTAGTTTGCCATTATTTCTGGACAGTCGGCTTTCTTGACACCACTGTTGAAACTAACGCAAGGTGCATGGCCCGCAGCTGGGATCGAACCCGGCATACCGGCCTTACGAAGTGTTCGCGTCAACTTAGCCACAGAGCCGACAGTTTTAATGTACCAAACTAATAATGATAACAATAATTAGCTGCGTGTCTTTTACGGGATGTTGCAGAACTAAGTCCTGATTATTGGAGAGACACAGTGAGAGAGAGAGAGAGAGAGAGAGGAGGGGGGGGGGCGGAGGGGCGATATTTTTTAATTTTACTCAAAGATTTTGCTTGCAGCTGTTTACCATTGCTTCCTCGGCTGTCAGGACTACAAACCATTGTTCAAAATAACGCATATCGGTCTGCGGCCAAGTCACCAGCATCTGTAATCAAGCCGAGAATCTTGGAATCACGAAGCCAGTTTACAAGGCTTAAGTCATACACGCTGAAGAAATGTTTGAAGTAGATAACAGAATTACCTTCAGATTTGGCTGTTTCTGATCTGCGGAGAAATACATGATCTCATAACCGTTGATGTCGTCACAAGATGGTGGTTGACATATCACCAAGGCAACGGAGTTGTGATTGCGTGTAGATCGTTGGATGTCAATGATTGGTTGGGTGGGTGCTGGCAGAAGGCAAGCAATGATAAAATATTATTAATAATATTGTCAATATTATTGTTGTTGTTGTTGCTGTTTTTGTTCTTTGTTACCACTAGTACCGCTATTGTTACTGATGTTGGTGTTTGTTTTTCATTGCCTAGTCTTTACTTAAGAAAAAAGGTTTAAGAGGAGGAGTAGGAGGTGAAGCCACTCTGAAAAAGAAGAAGAGAATGATGATGATGACAATGATGATAATGATGATGATGATGATGATGATGATGATGATGATGATGATGAGGATGATCATGATGATTAACGGAGAGAAGAAGAAGAAGAAGAAGAAGAAGGAGAAGAGGAGGAGGAGGAGAAAGAATGAGGAAGGAGGAGGAGAACGAGGAAGAGGAGAAAGGGAGTAGGAGGAAAAAAAGAAGTAGAATGAGGAGGGGGAGGTAAAGGGGGAGAGAAGATAATGATTAGGAGAAGGAGAATGTGAAGGAGGACGGGAGGAGTTGGGAGCAGGAAGAGAAGGAGACGTAGGAGTAGACACTTAGACCATCTTGTTTAGAATACTTACTTTCTGAGCTAGTTACATCCCTTACGACCCTATGTGGAGCTCTTTCGTTAGTGCTCGGAGAAGATTGCATCCTAGAGTCAAAGGTCATCAGGCAAAGGTTACACTTGATGAAAACATCAGACAACCTTAAAGTAAAGGCAATCCACATTATGGCTGCTGTCATTAAAGAATAAAGAATCTTACATTCACTTACACAGTGATGGTACACTGAGGGATCCAGCTGACTGACTGACTCTCTACCCCACCAGGACGTCACACAAGCGATAAACACCCGATGACACAAAGTGCCTCCATGTGGATGAGGATCACCGTGGAGAGGTCACAGAAACCGCGTTCAGACGATTGGCCACACATTTATGGCCTGCCTATATTGCGGCCCCTGACAAAAGCCAGGGTGGGGCTTCAAAGAACAACAAAATTTCGTCCTAATAAGGACATAAGGATTGACAGAAGTAAGTACACGGATCCAGTTCTTGAACCCATCTCCTTTATTTGGCAAACAGCACCAGACAATCTGATTGGCTCTTTGTTTCATAACACTTCTGATTGACCCATAGAAGGTATCCAAAGAATGCTAACTAACTAGGGATGCAGGTAGAATCTTTGCGCATCCCGGCCTGCACAGTCCCAGTCAACTACACTAGTACACGAGACTCCTCAAAGCTTTCCACGAGTTTTAGATTTCGAGATAATTATTTTCATCACCAAACCAAAGGTTAAACTATTCATCATATAACTTTCTTCTTCTTCGCGTTCACGGGCTGTAAACTCCGGCAGAAGGTTCTGGTTATTCATCCACCTCTGAACCTAGTCTTGTTTCAAATCTGAGTGTTGCATGCACATCAGTTTTACAGATCTGACATATTTGTATGCAGATTGTTGGTATCTTGCCTCCCAGGTAGATGCACTCCAACTTCAAAGAAAGCTCCCAGCTAGTCCACTCTTACGTCATGATTGATGGGGAGGCAGTGGGTCTGTTCTGTGTTTCCACACAAATTAGCTTCGAAAATCACACGGGAATCCCCTTATAATAAAAAGTGGTACACATCTGTACTATTCAACGCTTTCTCGCGTCAACTAGTACATTAATGTGTCGGAAAATACAGTTTTGAAAGCTCTGTCCGAAATCCTTAGACTTAAGATCCACCTGACTGACTTTCTACCCCACCAGGACATCACACAAGCGATAAACACCCGATGACACAAAGTGCCACCATGCGGATGAGGATCGCCGTGGAGAGGTCCCAGAAACCGCGTTCAGACATCTGGCCATATTTATGGCCTGCCTATATTGCGGCCCCTGGCAAAAGCAAGAGTAGGGCTTCAAATGACAAAAAAATTTCGTCCTGAAAAGGACGAAACTGGATATATAGTAAACAAGATCCACCTAGAATACACCTCCTAAAATACCAGCAGTTGTCTTCTTCTTTGGTTGGTACGTTGTGTTGTTGTTTACAGCTAGACTGTCTTATCTGTATCTTTCGACCCAATACATTTTAGGCAATTCCAAACATACAGATTTCTTACCTGTTTAACATGACAGGACTCTTTTGCATCAAAGCCTTTCGCTGATCTTCACAGACACGAGCACACTTCCGATATGAGGTCACTGTATCTAGAAGTTGGCGTTGCGTCTCAGAAAGCTTCCACAGCTGTTCGTGAACTCGTCTCTGCATACATATTACATAACAATACAGTGACGCCACCAACTGAACAAAGAAATAGAAGCCAGAACAATGAGAAAGAGATTGGATATTCGAGTGAAAGTTAAGGTCAGAACAATGAGAAAGAGATTGGATATTCGAGTGAAAGGTAATGTCAGAACAATGAGAAAGAGATTGGATATTCGAGTGAAAGTTAAGGTCAGAACAATGAGAAAGAGATTGGATATTCGAGTGAAAGTTAAGGTCAGAACAATGAGAAAGAGATTGGATATTACACTGAAAGTTAAGGTCAGAACAAGGAAAAAGAGATTGGATATTACACTGAAAGTTAAGGTCAGAACAAGGAGAAAGAGATTGGATATTCCAGTGAAAGTTAAGGTCAGAACAATGAGAAAGAGATTGGATATTACACTGAAAGTTAAGGTCAGAACAAGGAGAAAGAGATTGGATATTCCAGTGAAAGTTAAGGTCAGAACAAGGAGAAAGAGATTGGATATTCCAGTGAAAGTTAAGGTCAGAACAATGAGAAAGAGATTGGATATTACACTGAAAGTTAAGGTCAGAACAAGGAGAAAGAGATTGGATATTCCAGTGAAAGTTAAGGTCAGAACAAGGAGAAAGAGATTGGATATTACACTGAAAGTTAAGGTCAGAACAAGGAGAAAGAGATTGGATATTCCAGTGAAAGTTAAGGTCAGAACAAGGAGAAAGAGATTGGATATTCCAGTGAAAGTTAAGGTCAGAACAAGGAGAAAGAGATTGGATATTCCAGTGAAAGTTAAGGTCAGAACAAGGAGAAAGAGATTGGATATTCCAGTGAAAGTTAAGGTCAGAACAAGGAGAAAGAGATTGAATATTCCAGTGAAAGTTAAGGTCAGAACAAGGAGAAAGAGATTGGATATTCCAGTGAAAGTTAAGGTCAGAACAAGGAGAAAGAGATTGGATATTCCAGTGAAAGTTAAGGTCAGAACAAGGAGAAAGAGATTGGATATTCCAGTGAAAGTTAAGGTCAGAACAATGAGAAAGAGATTGGATATTCCAGTGAAAGTTAAGGTCAGAACAATGAAAAAGAGATTGGATATTCCAGTGAAAGTTAAGGTAGAAAGTCTCATAACTGATACTGTCAGGGGAGATGGGGTGGGGGGGGGGGGGTAGGAAGAGTAGGGTACTTTTTTAGCCTTCATTCTCTCTCTGTGTGAGCTCAGGCACTTTAAAAACATTGGGCGGGGAGTTGTGGGGGGGGGGTTATGGGGGGGGGGGGGGGGTTATGGGGGGGGGTGGGGTGGGGGGACCAGGAACAATAAAACATTTTGTTAGCAAACATGTCGTAAGTCGGAAGTGACCAAAATGCGAAAATATCGCAGCCAGCTGCAAATTTTCCAATTCTGGTTTGTGGGTTAAAGGTTACGTCGTTCAGCTACTGAGTTCGGTGTTTGGTGCGACACCTTGAGGCATGGATTTCATGCAGGATGGCTGATATACGTTCAGAATTGCGTGTAGATTTGCAGGTGATTGACTGTTGGCGCCGTGAGTTGCAATTCTGGTGGTTGTGCATCAGACAGCCGCTGAACATTTTTACTTTGTGTGTGCAAGCTTCGAGATTTTGTCAGACATGTTTTTTTTTTTCATTAATTTTAAAATAGGAGAGTGGAGGAAATTTTGGGTGAGTTCTGATGGTACAGGCGCTGGGCATTAATGGGTCACCCGTCCACACTGATGTTGGCTTCTCGAAAAACGACTAAGAGGTTTGAATTGCAAGAAATTTAAAAACGTTAGGTCTTTTTCATAATAACACGTTTTCTTGACCTTCAGTTGTTGTTTTTTCTTCCCAGATACCTTCGTAACATTTCTGGAAATGTGTCAGTCTGTCTGTCTGCCACTGTATCGTGTTTCGTTAGTTCTGCTGTTTCTACACAACTGACAGTCCGCCCCTTCAATCTCCTATAGGCGTGTCGCTCTAACATACAACACATCCAAAAGTCTAACACGGGTTGAGAAGCAGAAACGGAAACAGCAGAAGAGAAAGAAGAGACAGGAAAAAGCGAGGAAGGGCATGGAAGGAGAGAAGAATAAAAGGAAGAAATTTTAGGAAATTTTCCCTTGCATTTGCAAACAGAGCCGTTACCTTCATTAGTGCATCAAAATATGCTTTCCCTGCTTGGCTGTCGGAGTACTCATGGCTGGCATTGAACCCTTTTCTCCTCACTGGGTCGATGTAAGAAGCTAAATCTACCATTTGCTTTTGGGAAGAACTACCCACAGATACAGCAGAAACTCCAGATTCCTCAGACACATCGCAGTAAGATACTATTCTAGACATCGAAGCTGAAGGATATGTAGTATTTTCGTTATTATTACATTCCTGAGAAGGAATGTGAGTGGTATTATCATTTTGATTGATCGATTCCAACCCCTCCTCTTTTACGCTGAATTCATTCATTGGTGATACCCATGAGTTATTCAAAAATGTGAGTGGTGAACATGCATCGCTGCTTTCACACATTGTCGATTGTAAACTGTCACTGGTAGGTGTATTTGTGTGATTGGCCTCAGCTTGTTTTTGCCACGCCCTAACTTTTTCAATGATGTTTTCTATTGCCAGGACTCGTGGCAAGTTTGGGAAGCTGGCTTCGGTCCCACACTTCTCCCTGTTGAGATTATAAAGACAAAAGATTAGCAGTCAGAAAATAAAAACAACAAGAAAGATAATTAGTTAGGTCCCTTCACCCAAACCACAATTCTCTCCCCCCCCCCCCTCTCTCTCTCTCTCTCTCTCTCTCTCTCTCTCTCTCTCTCTCTCTCTCTCTTTCTTCTCTCTCTCTCTCTCTCTCTCTCTCTCTCTCTCTCTCTATATATATATATATATATATATATATGTGTGTGTGTGTGTGTGTGTGTGTGTGTGTGTGTGTGTTAGTTTTACTATAATCTCCCCACGGTACACAATAGCTCACTCCTGATTGGTCGACCTCCAATCACTTGAACTTCGCAGACTGCTAGAGGTGTGTTCGGCAGTGCGTTCATATCGCGTGTTGTATTGTTAGGCACGCCAACGCTTATAACACTACAAAAACATTTACAAACTGGGTCTAACCCACAATCCCCCTTGAAAGTGCTGCAACCAATGTCACAGGCATTATCTTTTTTGGAAGAAAAACGTGAATGAAAGACAAGCCAGACACCCCCTCCCCCCCCCCTCCCCCTCCTTCCCCCGAACAGCAGACTAGTCTAAAAAATCTATCAATAGACCGTGACCTAGTTCGGCTGGGGAGACTTTAGTAGATCACACCTATATATATATATATATATATATATATATATATATATATATATATATATATATATATATATATATGACTGTCTATTACTCTCCCCCCCCTCTCTCTCCCCCCCTCTCTCTCTCTCTCTCTCTCTCTCTCTCTCTCTCTCTCTCTCTCTACTTTATAGATAAAATATAACTTGTTTGTGAAAAGTGTATAGAAAGGCTAAAAGTCAGTTGACACATGTAGCGATAAAATGAAGTTCTTTGGTTCAGTCTCTCAGCCTGACTACTCACCTGCACACAGGACAGCGAACGTGACTACTCACCTGCACACAGGACAGCGAACATGACTACTCCCCTGCACACAGGACAGCGAACATGACTACTCACCTGCACACAGGACAGCAAACATGACTACTCACCTGCACACAGGACAGCGAACACAGCTGACCTCAAAGATGGTCTCGGCACATGGACGCTGACACAGCACGTGACTACAGGGTAAAACAACGGGGCGACTCAACAACTCCAGGCACACTGGGCACGTCAAGTCATTGATCAGCTCCATCAGGTGCTTGTAGAGTCTGACGCTGTAACTCTAATATGCAGTATATCTGTTACTGAAATATTTAGTACTGATTTGAGAATTTACGATACAGTTTTGATAGCTGAAAATGCAACTGATAACCAACAACTGCTGGACATTGTGGGGATGGAGACTGCTAAGAAAGAACTTTTACTGAATAATAGGAAAGCGGAAGTAATAGTTATACTAAAGAAAAAGATAATCAAGCATTGTGATATCTCAAATGAAGGAAAAATACCTAACCAAGTCAATAAATTTATTTAACTGGGAACAGTCATATCATCATCATCATTATCAGGTGCCTTGCCGACTGGCGTGAGCGATCATGCCTCTCCATAATCTGCGATCTCCTGCAGCATGAATCAGTTCTAGTGCCGACATACCTCCATGCCATGCAACAAGACTGTCAAGCATCTTCTCTCGTTCTCTTCCTCTATCCCTTTTTCCACAGATCTTTCCAGTGGTCACAACATGTTCTATTTTCCCTCTTCTCATAACATGGCCGAAAAATGATGACTGTCTCCTTCTGATGTCTGTGATAAGTTGTCTTCGGGCTCCCGCCTCTTTCAAAATCTCTTGGTTGCTCTTTTTGGCTGTCCAAGTTATTCTAATCATTCTTCTGTAAAACCACATTTCTGAGGCCTCTAAAACATGAACAGTCATATCATCAGATGGGAAATGTGCGACAGAGAGTTTAAAAGCAAAAGCGAAAGATGCATTTCAGAAAATAAAATATATCTTATGCAATAAATCGCTCTCATTTCATGTCATAAAGAGGGTGCTAAAATGTTACATAGAACTTGTTCTGCTGTATGGCAGCGAATCTTGGAATGTCACTGAACAAATTGAGAAGAATCTGGAAGCAACAGAGATGTGGTTTCTGAGACGAATGTAACGAATACCTTGGACGGCCAGAGTAACTAACAACGATTGCTTGAGAGGGCTTATGAAATTAGATCTCTATATACAACATTAAGAAAGAGACAAACACTGTTCTTTGACTACATTATGAGAAGAAAGACCTTGGAGAACACCGTGACAACTGGAAAGATCAGTGAAAAGAGAGGTAGAGGCAGACCAAGAGAGATGATACTGGATGGGCTAAAAACGATGGCATGGAGGGATATCATCAAGAGAACTGTTCCAGGCAACCAGGGATCGTGATCTGTGCAGACGCATGAGCGCCTACGCCTGTTGGCAGGGCACGTGATGATGATGATTATTATTATTTAAGAATCGATATTGAAGCACATCAGGCATACTCATAGATGCTCAGTCTCATGGAATAAATGTCCTTATGTGTAGATGCTAACTATTCCGTAAAGTAAAGTAAAGCATCCTTTTCCACGCCTTAAGGCGTATTGGGCGTATAGGGCTAGACCTATATTTTCTTAGACAATCGACACTCTATGGGTCATAGGGCTTTAGCTGGTACCCATTTAAGGCTGGGTCGACCTGGAAGCCAAAGTTATGTTTGCACAAAAAAAAAAAAAAAAAGATCAGTTTCGTTAAAATGAAGGTGTACAACACATAATCCTAGATTTGTGACCTATGCGACTTACGAGCATCAGCACTTACCACCACACACACACAAAGTAAATGAAAACAGTAAATGAACAAAGATGATTACATAGGTAGAACGCGGCCAGATCAAAATAGCAGAGTCATAGACTGAATGTCTATATTTTATGTACAGTTTGTTTCACCTATTTGAATAAAAATATTTCTGAAAAACACCAATTCAACTTACGGCCAGTTTGACTTATTATCTGTTAGCTTTAATAGAACTAGATTGTAAATCGATAGATAAGACCTGTACTTGAGTGCAAGAGGCATAAACAAATATTAGAGTTTTTAAAAAATGTACATATCCCTTTTCACGCCTATAGGCACATCGGGCATCTGGGAAGAGCACCCATACTCTTACAGACCAAGATGGCTAAGTTGGTCAGCATTCCGTAGGCCGTCTTTACTTTCTCATGACATACACCCTCGTAAATTTTAGGCCGGGTTGACCTGCGACGCCCCATACTACGATAAAAATCCGCACAGCCGGCAGTGGGTTTCGATCGCGGTAAATATTAGAGTACAGAGGCATAAACACATATTAAGAGTTTTTATTAAAATTAGAGTACCGCAGAAAAAAAAAATATAAGAGTACAAGAGCACATACACATACTGAGGGAGATAATATAAATGTGTTTTATACCTTTGATTATAAAAATATAAACCACACGTTTCTTCAACCACAATTAGAAGAGCAGAAAACACAGAGCTTGTTACCTCACAGTACACTAGGTCTCTGACGTGTTCTCACTCCTCAGAAACACCCTCTAGAATATTCAGAAGCACGTATGCCGAGCTCTGTAGAGCTAATCTCCTGCAGTCCTGGTATCAAACAAACAGTTTGTATTGAGCTTATCAGATTTATTGCTAATCAATTCTAGAGGTTCTTAAAATTGTGAGTGTTGGGGGCTTCTCTAGAAGAGCAAAGAGCTGTATTTATTGTTTAAAAATAAAATAAACGCAGTCATCGGATGACGCTTTCCAGTTTTAAAAAAAAACGCAAAGTTGACGTGTGACTTTAAACTCTACCAGTATCGCACAACAGCATAAGACAATCCCAATCAGCACAAAGAGACATCTTATTCAAAGCATATTTATTCCAACTCTGTGCTACCAGTGCCAGACATGGTCACTCACAACAAACTATAAAAGAAAATTAGTAACCACGGAAATGAGATGTCTGAGAAGGGCTGTAGGAGTGACCATAAGAGATAAGATCAGGAATGAGATCATAAGAGAACAAGTCGGCACAGAACCAATTCTGGATTACATACAAAGACAGCAAGTGAAATGGTTTGCCCACTTAGAGAGAATGCCTTGTGACACCATACCATACAAAGCATACATGGAAAGGGAAGAAGGACGTAGAGCACGGGGTAGACCAAGAACAAGATGGAAGGATAACATTAGAGAAACTCTACAACAGCACGATGTGCCTATGGTCGAGGCAGCCAGAAGAGCTAGAAACAGAACCTTATATCTCCCTCGACACCCACAGCGGTAAAAGAGGAAGTGAAGAAGAAGAAGAAGAAGAAGAAGAAAAAGAAGAAGAAGAAGAAGAATAATAAGAAGAAGAAGTATCGCACAACGCGCGATAAACACACGGTGACACAAAGTGCCACTAGTCGGATGAGAATCGCCAGGCTGCAAGTCTCAGAAACCACCTTCAACCGTTAGTGTATATTAGGGCCTAAGACTACAGCCGGGTAAGTAAAGTAAAGTAAAGTTCTTTTTTCACGCCTTTTGGCGCATCGGGCATATGGGCAGAGCGTCCCATATTTTTACAGACCATCAGCACTCTGTGGGTAATGTGGTCAGCATTACGCCGGCTGTCTTTACTTTCCTAGGACAGCCCATCCTGGTACCCATTTTAGGCTGGGTCGACCTGCGACGTCCCCATACCACGACAAAAATCCACGCAGCCTGCAGTGGGTTTCGATCGCGGTATGCTGGCTTACGAGTCGGACTCACAACGCCTTAGCCACGGACGCCGCTACACAGCCGGGTAGGGCTTTAAAATAAAAACATTGTGTCCCCTCTGTGGCGATGTCTAAACTCAGTTATCCGATGGCGCCTATTTATTAGTTGACAGAAAACAAATATGCCCCCCCCCCCCCCCAAAAAAAAAAAAAAAAAACCACACACACAGAACCTATAGATGAGCTAGGTACAACTGAACTGTCAGTCGATTGTTTGAACTCTATGGTATATCTGGCTATTACCATAAATATAGCCTAACGGCTGAAAGGGGTTTCTGGGACCTATCCACTGGTGATACTCATCCGCATGGTGGCACTTTGTGTCACTGGGTGTTCATCGCTTGTTTGATGTCTTGGTGGGGTACAACCAGAGAGAAAGAGAGTATCTGTAAGCAGTCTGAATAATTTCACTGTTTACATAAAAAAAAAATTTTGAAATGCACAATTGTGATAAAATTAGATTTCTTAAAGGGGAATCAGATAACTATTTATTTCTTTTTCTTCTGAACACTATATATGTATGTATGTATGAGGTGCATATGTGTGTGTTTATATCGTTGGCATCTTTTCGTCTTTCTGGACGATAGTGTTATTTTGTGCTATGGACATAGGGATAACAGCCCATGGCGATGGCGAGTGTGACTATCAAGACCCGCCCACGTTAACAAAAGTCTTCCACAATTATAGCAAGTGATTTCAAGACCGTTGTTGACATGACATCTATATAGTTCGCTTCTTCTCAAATGCTTAGCCTCAAACCTTTCTGCTTCAACTATTAAATGTCTACGACGAATCCCGAATGCAACAATCAAAGGATCAAAATAATGATCCCAAGAAACAATCCTAGACATAAATTCCTTGACTGCATCAAGAAACAAAACGCATCAAATGGTTCAGACATGTGTCTAGACTGGCACAGGACGGTACACCAGTAATCACTAATCTGGAATTGTGGGGGAGAATGAAACTTATTCCACGGAATCAAGATGCAATAATAAGATATTGGTGGAAGTTATACAATAAATAAAATCTAACTATATGCAGGGTTAAAGTTAAATTGCTTTGGACATATTCTGAGTTACGCGTTGTAGTAAAATACCAGGCTATTTACAAAGCCAAGCAAGAAAGAAGAAAGGGGGAAGGAAAAAAGAAAGGCAAGAAGCACGGCGAAATGAAGGATAAAGAAGAAGAAGAAGAAGAAGAAGAAGAAGAAGAAGAAGAAGAAGAAGAAGAAGAAGAAGAAGAAGAAGAAGAAGAAGAAGAAGAAGAAGAAGAAGAAGAAGAAGAAGAAGAAGAAGAAGAAAGAAGAAGAAAGAAGAAAGAAGAAGAAATAAGAAGAAAGAAAAAAGAAAGAAGAAATAAAAATGAAAAAAGATAGAAAAAACAAGAAAAAAAGAAGAAAGAAAAAAAGAAGTTAAAAAAGAAAAAAAAAGAAAA